TACAAACTGTAAAAACATTTAACTGGGAGTCGAATTCTTATTTCAGTCCTTTATAAATAGTACATATGGTCCCTAATGATCGTTTTTTATACAAATATTTTATTATCATGCTCTATAGTGATAGAAAAATCTTATGTTGCACTTTTGTTATATGTTAATTTTTGCAAATTTAAAAATATGAGGGGCATGTAAGTCTTTTTATGCCTAACTAACGGACTTTTTGTACTGAAAGAGTGAATAATGAAAATTTTGAGGACAAAAATGTGACAAAAAAAAGTTGGAGACATAAGTACTATAATAACAAATGGCTAATCTACTAGTACAAAATAAATGTCAAATAAAAGACACCATAGATTGCTGTAAAAACTGTGGTGGATATTCGCTCATGAAAAGCCTAATTTGACCTAAGTCGATGTAGCGTTAAGTTTTAGCCCATGTTTGGTATTGATTAAAATATTAATTTTAATTAAATTAAAGTTAATAATTAATTTTAACTACACATTTTATGGGATTCACAACTTTTCAACCATATATTTCATCAGTGTTTATTAAAATTTGCTAGAAAATCTAATTTTAATCTCCACCAATCAGGGGCTAAATAATCAATCCAACTTTGATTAATTAGGTATTCCATATTTTTTTTATCATTCAAGAAACAATTTGTTCGATAGAAAGTAAAATGAGAATCTTTCCCCTTCCTTATATAAAAGCTATGTATAATGATTTTATATTAGTTTACTTAACGAATTTTGACTTTCTCCACTAATGAAAACAAGCTGACTTTTTCCTCAATTACATTATGTATCAAGTTCTAACTAATCGTTTTGTAAGAATCATTCAGTTGGTGTCATTGGGTAGGTGGGAAGCCCGTAGGAAGGGGGACGTTGAAAGATGAAGTAAGCAAATATTTTTATATGAATATACATCAATCGTTACAACCTACTATTGAATCATAGCGTGATTAGACTACAGCGATGTGTGAATGGCGACTTGGTATCTGTATTCTCAATCGGCTATCTGTGAAGGGGGACGTTGAAAGATGAAGTAAGCAAATATTTTTATATAAACATACATCAATCGTTACAACCTACTATTGAATCGTAACGTGGTTAGACTGCGGCGATGTGTGAATGGCCGACTTGGTGTTTTTATTCTCAATCGGTGAAGCCTCGATAACCCCACAGATAGTTGAGAGACCTACAGTTGAGCATCTGTGCTTAAATTATTTTAAGTACTCGGGTGACATGACACACTACGAACATGGAGAATTTGTGACGTTGAATCTGAATTTGGTGAATCAACAAATTGCTCCTTTGTTTGAAGGAGTTGATGAGTTAACCTGTAAAAAAAATACTATAAAAAGTCCAAGATGGAAACTCGGTGTCTTTGGGGAATAGAAAATTTATAAAACATTTGTGTGCAAGCAACTA